GAATAGAAGAGGTGGCCAATGAGCCCTATCAGCCCAATGGCAATTGAAAAGTCAATTGAAATAAAAACCTGGATCCTCACCAATTCCCGAATCTTTAACATATTCTCCAAAAGGCCCCACAAAACTGAAATATCCATTTTTAGAAAAGGTTCTCCTAAGCCATGAAATTTAACAAGGGTTGAGTTTGAAACCAACACTTGCCGCCGCCATGTTTACTTACACACTGAGAAAGTGGGAAGCGAGTTAGGCCCCCCTACTTCCGTTGAAGAGAAACGTCTCGTCCTTCATACGCGTCGTATTCAATGTACACGTACATGTATTAATTGTTTTTATTTTTATAAGTGTTTTACGGTGCTTGCAACTGCATAAGGTCATATGAGCGCGCGTTACACACCTAATATTTTCAGTTGGAGGGAAATTTAGAATTCTGCCCGGGTGGCGGCCGAGGCCTACTTTTATCGATTTTAGATCTCCAAGGGGTCTTTAACGTGCGCAACTTGCACTTTGGCCCTCATAGATTTTTCGCCCTTGTCCGAGAAGGCTAGAAGTAGATATTTCCTTCCAGAAGATCAGGAGTGTGGCTGAAAGACAGCAGTGACAAGGAGCCAAGGAGTAGCAGTAGAAAGGCAACAGGAAGTAAAGACGGGCGGGAAGCACTTTTTTCTTCCTGAGTGAGAGGACCGAGAAAGAGTCAGGGAGCCCAGAGGGTGGGGGCAGAAAGAGGAGACGGAAGCAGACGACAGAACAGTGCTGGAGAGCAGGAAAGGGGGTGAAAGGGGACAATTTTAGAGACAAATTTGTTGGGTCGCTACCCGGATTCGAACCCAGGATCTTTGCAATTGAATGAGAGGCCAACACCTCCTAGGCCACGAGAGCCCGCTGCATAAATTTATACACGATTAGAGATATTCAGGATCTATAATAATTATAAGATTCAGCTTTTCCACTTTCATCTGACCTCGGTTAAAACAAGATAAAAATGAAATCGCTCTGTTTTTAGGCACGTCAAGGGTCTGCAAAACACGATGTTTGGGTCAAAATTTCGATTTTTAACTTTGTCCATTTTTTGGGTACCAGCACCAAAGTTTCTATATTATGGCAAGATGGTTGACTCCTCTCTTTGAACCAATTAAAAATGTGTCCTCAAAATCCGGTGACGCCCTCTTTGAATTTGCAAACAGAGTTATCCTACTTGAGAGGGGAAAAAATCAAAGTGAAACCAGAGACCTGGCAATGTAAACGAGATTTACAGCTGGGCCTGAGCGCAAATCTGACCAATCCGTGACAACAGGAACTGGGGCGGTAAACTCAAACAAACATGGCTGATCTTAAGAACACCCACTCACCTCTTTCACTCACCTCATGCATTGGGAAACTAGCAGAGAGAATGGTCAACCACCGCCTATACTGGTGGTTGGAAACAACCGGTGCCCTGGACAGCAACCAAGCAGGATTTCGTGCGGGCCAACGAACAGATGACCAGCTCT